TACTCAAAATAAGTTCAGGGTTAGTATGGGTAATCACATCCTTTCGAATGAAAATCGGAATAAAGAGACATGTAACTTCAAAGAGCAACAAAATTGCACATAGAGCGAGTGCAATTTGCAGCTTTTGAAATAGAATACGAGTGCTCAATTTAACCTGACATTCCAGGAGTCTATTCACTACCTTTCGCTCCTTTCAATACGTGATAAACATAGTTGAAATTGAAATTAATCGGTGTGATTATATCATTACCTTAACCGAATCGTGCTGTTTTGTCTTCTTTTAGCACATTGAATGATTAAGTGGCGTAGATAGAAAGATAAAAAAAAAAAAACACGCTAGAACAAATAATGTCTCTATATAGCCGTTTGTTAATCGATATTATCTGGGTTCTGAGACAAAAGTTGGCGTGCGAAACAATTGAAAAGAAATGACAATATTTAACAACAAGACATTTTTTTCTCCTATCATCATGAACTGATACAAAGCAACATCAATTACACAAACTTTTTTCGAAGCCTAGGATTCTCAAAACAACTTGAGAGGCTCCAAACAAATTGATATCAGACCCTGAAATATTTGCCATTACTTGTTAAAGGATTCCAAAAGGTAAGAAACGTTTTTTATTTTGAATTGTATCGGGTCAAGTTTAAGTTAAAAAAAAACATCAAAACAAAACAATTACCCATCTAGCCCTAAACGAAGACGAAAAATGGTATTAGTATTAGGGTTACTAAGATGGAGCTCTGGTGTTGTTTAGAACCTTGGCTTTTACCGTTAATTGAGACTGAGATCATTTTCAACTCTAATAGAAGAGACTTGGATAATTTCGCTGGAGACTTCTCTTTTAAAGTACTGTTGTGATATGCATCCAGTTCAAGGAGAACAAGGCGCCGCGGTCTAACCGATCTCCTGTTTTGTATATTTCGAAACATCCCCCTTTGTCTCTTCGACTGTAACGCGTTAATTATAGAGATTTAATTGTAACAAATAGTTGTCCTAGTCAACAACTGAAATTTAGACAAAATAGATATGTGGATTTCTTTGTTTTGTCAGTATCTCATTTTTAGCCTACGTTATTAACAAGGAAAGAGCTATATTTAAATCGCTGATAAATAATTAAAGTCACACTAAATTTTAAATGGTGAGCTACAAATCAACTAAAGAGATGGGAGGCTGCACAAATATCCTTAGAAATTTTCTTCTGGGGAGATTAGTTTTGTTATGTATTGTACGTAAATATTTTAAACAAATGCATACGTTTAAATGTCCTTTGAGGCAAATTGACTCTGTGGAATCCAATTCAACTAAAAGGCTCATTTGAATCGTTATCCAGCTCGCAATCTATGACGTGGTTATGGTGCAAAGGCCACATGAGCAATTAACACCAAACTTAAGAATTCTCGTTTCCCCACCAACGGTTCACCGCTATTTCACAGAGTACGTTTCAGTTGAAAAGAAAACAAACCTTTTCACGTTTTAGAAGTAGATACATAAACTGAACAAACTATTAGAGGCCTAAGGATCGCGCCTCACGCACGAAGCACAACAAGAACATGTGTGGGCAGCGTACAGGAATGTAATTATTCTTGGATTGTTATGGTAACAGAGCATTGCGATCTTACTTAATTCAGAAAGTATTCTCTGTTAGGCTGAATCAATAATTTATGAGGAAATTTTAGCAGATAAAACCAACCACTACAGTTGAATGAGCCGTTGTTATCGAGATTTAGAAATCTCCAGAACTAGGCAAAACGCACGAGTGTCTTTACTTCATTGTTGTCCGGCGCTAAATCGCCGCGAGTAGTAACAATTGGAATCCAAATATACTCGCAAAGAAAAACAACGAAGAATACATTTGAATCTGCAGATGGCTTTACTTCAAGAACCAGATGAGTTTAATATTCTTTCAGGCGACGAATTCGTTCTCATAGAAGCAGATGAAGACCCAACACCACCTTTCAAGAAACATAAGCGCGTTCACTGGTCACAAGATCTAGTGGAGGTTTTCTATTTTGTACCAACGAACAACGCGGTTATCCCCCCCTTCGCAGATTACTGTTCCTCAAACAGAAAATCGCGACAGAGGAAACCGCGAAGGACTGCCAGCTCCCTGACTCGAAGTGCAGGACAAATCAGCACAGTGATGGTAATGAGAGGACTACAGTTTATTACAAAACAACTAAATGATTTGACGGTGGGAAGTGTTTCCGAAGACAGGTCAAGCAGATGGGACGAACTGTTACAATTGTATATGATACGAGAGAGGCTTAAAGACGAGAAAGGCGACTGGGTGTAACATAGTATTACTTACTGAGAAGGAAACGAATGAAAATATCTCACCGGCCGCTATCGAGTATAACACGAAAATGCTCTGACTGCACAAGCGGATTAAGAAAAAATGAAATCCGCTTTCAAACATGAGAGGCTAACTAAGCCGGGACAACATTGAATTACAAGCAACTAAGAGTTCCTCAGCGCGGAAATAAAACTCTTGACGTCGGAGCTAACTGAAGACTAAAGAAAACATAATATTTTGGTAACCAAGAGAACAAGTTCTTCAAATCATTTACTAAACAATATTCTTCGTCTAATGTACGTTCGTCGATTTTTCAGATGCACATGGATGTATCTTCACTATATAGAAAGAAAAACGTTATTGACGCAAAGGAAATCCGGAAAAGTCCAAAATCGTTTGCCATAATAATAGCTTAAATCGGAAAGAAACGAAGCGATTGAGGACGGTTACGATTAAAAGGAATTTGATTCATAAGAATATGTTCAACAACGACTCCGGAATATTGAACTTTGAATCATCACTTACCACAAGCAATTACTTCGATTGAATCAAACAAATAATAAACTACATAAAATTTACTTCATTTATTTGATTAATTTGTAATAAAAATAGACTCGCTTGTATAAATTCAAAAAAAATTAAAAAGGAAGTAGAAAATCTACGCTTTTTAAACAAAAAAATCGAAATTGGCAGAAATGGATGTTATTTCGAGTAATCACCTGGGAATGCCATAAAAGAACTATTATTTCTTGAGCCTCTGTTTTCGAGATCACATCTATTCAGGGACAAAAGTCATTAATTTTTAACGTTGAGAACTCTCAAGTACTCGCCGTAAGGTTAACAAGATCTCCTACTTGTGTATGATAACAATCGTCTTAAATCTTTCAATAGTTTTCTGTCGAATACACGATGCATATTGTTCAAAGCAATTTTAAACATTCAGTTGCAAACGGTTTACTCAAATGGAACATCTGCGTGTCACAAAAACGAAAAAAAAAAAAAGGAAAATAAAAAGATACAGTTGATAGATTTATTTTCAAGCTCGTTTGACATTGTCTATTAGAACTCAGTTTGCATTCATTGTATAGCTTTGTGTACAAAATTTGGTTGTTTTTTAACAAAAAGTGTTTTAAACGCAATAATTTTACCGGATGTGATTTGTTAATCAGGTTAGTTAGAAATTTGTTGCAATACTACACAATGCAATGATTGCATTGTGTATAATTCTCAGTTTAAGCCACAAACATGCGTCAAATTCATTATTCAGTATCGACGGTGACATGATACATTGCATTTCCCTTTGTTACGCAACAAAATTGTGGTCAATTTTCATGCAGATAAAACATTGTTTAGAGGTGATTAAGAAGTCTTAGATACCAAAGGCGTGGTTGCCGCTTAAAGTCAACTGAACTTTGTTAAACAAAAGACCCATTGCTTCTCGGGGCTGACTGTATAAAACCAGTTCTTTATAACCTTCTTTATACCCCTCTGATAAACTAAAGAAAACTTTTTTCAATTTTTTCCTCTCAACACCATCGATGGTAGAGATCAATGGCTCAAAACCTTTGTTTGGAGGTAACTGGGTTATTAACGCCTGGCTGACTCAACCAGAGGTAAACAAGTCCTGCTCGGAAACCCTAAAAACGCGACATTGAAATTAACAAAAATAAATCCTTGAAAAACAAAACAAAACAAAACAAAAAAACCTGCCTAGCCTACCCAGAGATGTTCAAGATGTGGTCAAGCCAATTTTACGATGTCACGCGACATCACACACTTGCAGTGTCTCATTACGCTTACTCAAGTTTGGTTATTCATTAGAAGCAAAGCCTAAACTGTGACTAATTAAGGCCTTGAAAATAAGGAAACCTAAATAGTGAAATCTAAAAGTACTAAAGTTACCTTTTTATCTTCCACATGAATATTCTGACAATGATCAGTAACCTTTAGAAATCTTAAAACTAAGGTTCTAAATAATGCTTTGAGTAAAAGTTTGAAAAATATTACAAAAACTGTTGAACTACTGTTTCCGTGGAGTGAAAAGTTTATCTTTCTTAGTGGGTCTTCCCTCATTGAATGCAATATCCTTTGATATTTTGTAAAATTTCGAGCACTTTAATTAAAGAATGTCATTCTATTATAAATTAGGTTGTTATATAATAGACTAGTTCAGCTGCTGATAGGTATCAAATATGTTTAGTATTATTTTTCAAAAATCTTAGACTGCATTTTGTATTATTCATATTTGATTAAAGATATCTTTGCCATCTAAGTTTTGTTTTCTGTATTAGTCTGTGATCCCTTATTGTAAACTACGAATGGGTATCTCCCAGGCTACATAGTTTGACATTTACGTGATTTATTTTATTTCATTTTTATATAAACTGAAAGAGACCAGATAAAGTTAAGAAGTAGATGAAAGATTATGCCCACTAGGAGAGATGGAAATCGTTTAATACGAGTTGATTGACTACAACTCAATTTCTTCAAAATTTGAAAAAAGTTGAATCACAGTGTAATCTCTGTGGCAAAAATATGAGAAAAGGAATTTGTTTGGGCTTATGGCTGTGGCATTTTTATGGTTATTCTTGTTTTACCCCATGAGAATGGTTTGTGGATACAGAAAACATGCTATTGCCGATAAATTGTATGTTTAAGGTAAAAATAGTAATAATGATAATACCGTCACCACTGTAAAACAAATAGTATATAAATCCGATGTCATTTACTATCTTTGAATCAGCAGTAACACGGGGGTGGAGTGTGTTTATTTTCCTACGTTACACTCTTGATTGAGAACTTACTCTGATGATTTTAGCTTTCTAGAAGCAAAATGTAGAATGTTTGATGAGCAATTGGGAAACGTTGGCTGCAAGTGGAGTGCAAGAACACGTATCTGTGAACCTAGTTACCTTTGCCAATTTTTTAATTTCTAGTGCAAAGAGCTTCTAAATTCAAAATTCAAAATTCAAACAGTTCTCACTGGTCCTCTCTTATTAGCTATTTAAAAGGAAAGGTTCCTATAAAAATAATTTTCACACAGACAATGTAATTTATATTATATAAATACATGTAATAATATAATAATATATAGTTAAGACTAATCTACAACAATACCACAGGGCTATGAAAATTTCTTTTTATCAATTAAGGGTTAAAAGGTTTTAAAGTTCTTTAGTTTCCCTGAAACATTAAAACTCTACAGCAAAACATCTCGAGCTGTCCTCTAAATGCTGGTCTTGGGTCTCACTTAAAACAGCTCAATTCAATCGTTTTCACGTGCTTATAATGTGGGTTTTGCTTGATAACAGTGTCACTGTACACAATTTTTTTCCAGAGTTACACGTAAGTTAAGATTGCTCCAGGCTTAACCTCTCCAGCTACAGTTTGGCAACAGCTGATTTTCCTTCCCCTTTGGCATTTTGGATCCTATTTGCCTCATTCTCGATAAGATAAACAAGATCTCTAGCGCTTCCCCAGTTTAATGTCATTCCCCACCTATAGTGACCATAATTATGAAATATCCGGGGTTCTAAAGGATCTTGTTCTAGTCTAAGTCCAGGTTTTCTTCCAGGTCGAATGCCAACAATAACCTGGAAATCACTATCCCTAAGAGAATTCAGGCACGGGCAGAGATCCTTGCATTGTCTGATCATAGATTGGACATATGGAGCTGTAATAGATGCACTGCAGTCCCACCGATTTAGCTGATAGAATGAGCCAAACATCAGAGTATCTTCACCTGCAAGAGCATAAATTGAAACAAGCTGGACATTTGATTTCTACAAATGAATTAGCTATAAGCCAAACGATAAAAATGCAACTTAAAACTATCATAATTGCAACACATTATGAACCTGAATAATTGGAGTACTGTTTAGAAACACATGTATTACAACTGTATTAGTTGCAATGGATCTGGCCGTGTTAGTAAAACTTAATGCTACATAAAAAAGCACAAATCAACAAGTAAAATATTTAAGTTCAGAGTTATAGCTGCCATACAGTTTAGAGAAATGAAAACAGATTGTTTACTTTTCTGTGCATGGAATTAAGCTGCATGACTGTGGGCCTAAATTAGGCCTCAAAGCTAAAACAATTAACTTAACTACAAATCCATTTCCCAAAACACAAATAAATTCTACAATTTCCAAAAAGAAAGAAGTTCCCAAAACACACAAATGAGTCTCCAAAAACACTAACCAATTTCTAAAAAGAAAAATCAAGACACAAGGTGCCTGCTCCATATCTAACTAGTATCTAATTATCTATCACCTTTCCCTAGAGAGATACTTCAGTCTACTAAAGTCCCTCCTTTCTCCCTACATCAAGGCATGTGATCCAAAGAATAAAATGGCCATGGGAACAAGAATGTTGGTAGCTCTCTGATTTGTGTTACTCTGCTCTCTGATTCCAACCATCCACAGAGTAAAATGCACAGCAGATACTGTACTTTTAATTACTGTTTATAATGCCACATCTGTGACAGCGTTCACCTAATCAAAATTATGCCATTGGGTTTATTGCTCATTTCCTGCAACAGTTCGGTCAGTTTTGTGTAGGTGCATGACCATGGTTAAAGGAATTGCATTCTAATATTTAATTTTTAAATTTTAAAATAATGATGACGATAAAAATAATAGCTTTTACCATAATATATCATGGCAATTAATTACTCTACCTCTGGGGAAAAGATATGGACGACCACAAATTTCTTGTCCTGATTCATCATGTCCAAAGCTGGTATGCTTCCCTTCCACACAAAATTCAATCTTAGGAAATAAACTGCCATCGTTTTTTACCTTCAAGAGAATCCCTGTGAAGATATGTTACACACTGTTACACACCATCAACAATATGATCTATCATAGATCCACTTTTCTATGGCCAGCAGGACTATAGCAATTGAAATAAATTAACTTTTTAAGGAGAAGAAAACCCATTACCCTTTGCTGGGAACATTCCTTGATCTCCAGCTAACTCTATTGAGCCTAAGCCTGAACAGTTGACAATAAACTGAACACCATATGTCATTCTCAGTGAATCCCCCTGCTCTGTCAGTGGTCCTCTAATGGCACCTTGTATAAAGTGTGCCCCTTTCCTTTTGCACTGAAAAAAAACCACAAGAATTTGATCAAGAGAATCACTATGTTGGTTTTTGTTTTTAGGTAAAATAGACCATCACTGATAAAGATAATTTTTTTCACAAGGGATAATGAATTTAAATTTTACTGATAAAAAGTGATCATGTATTTGAAAGTGACCTTCTTTCTTTGCTTTATTCATTTATTTTTTCAATAAACATGGTTGACTCTCTCTTGCCACGAGTTCTGCGAAGGCTCTCCATTAGCCATCTTTGGTTATGATCATTTGTTATTATGCACAGCCACAGTATGAGAAGATATTTTAACCACTCAAAAGGGGGAAGGGAGCTATTGTATTGTAACAGTTTTACAAATATGAACTAATACACTGGGATGGTTTTTACATTCTGCTTAAACACATTAAAAGGTCATCATCACAGCAAACTAACCTTACTCTACGATCTCATGACTAATTTCCGAAAAAAAGTATTACTTTGTTAGACTTGGTCAGCATAAAATAACCCTCTTAATTTCAAAAAAACTACATGAAAAACTGACAAATAAAACAGGGAGCAGCTTGTACCTCTTCAAAAAGCCATGTCCCAAATTTTGGTGGATCAATGATTGGTGCAAGAAAAGAAACAGCATCTTTTATCAGACCATTTCCATCTGTCAAGCCTAAACAGGGAGATTCCATACAAATTAGGAGTTTGTAGTTAATCTCTCAGCTTAAGAATAGAAAACCTTGTCAAATACAGAGTATTTTCCTTATTAAACTGAAAAAGAGGTTTTCTGAACTAAGTCAAAATTAAATGACCTGCAGCAAAAGGAGAAACTTACATTGTCTACAAACATGACTTTGGTAGTGATAATTGTTAAGGGTTCAGCAGGCTCAGTAATACCAATTGAAATTAAATTAACTACTATCACTAGCACTATATCTAACAGAAGAACATATGACAGGGGACTTCTGAAGAACACAATTTGTAGATGATTATGTGGTTCATCAAAATGTCAAATCTGTTTAAGGTGTCTCTCACAAACCTTTCTCCTTAATCAATGACATAGAATTTTTAAATCTTTTCATTTGCTTGTACTCCTCCAATATTACAGGATCAATCTAGGAAAAAACTTCAATATTATTTGATACTTTCTGATACCATTACCGACATTTAAAATAATCAGATGATGATCATGTACATCATCAAAATCAATTTTTTTTAACAATTGTAGATAACCATCAATAATCTATTTAAATTAAGGGTTAACATTTGCTGAGGTGTCAGATACCATTTCAGTAGGCCAGTTCTGTCATTCTATTTCAACAAAACTCCTATTTCCAAGAAAATAGTAGATAAGCATAAATTGATTGACCCTATTCCAAAAGTAGAATACTTTTCTCTTCAGTCCCAATACAATACAAACAAGACAAGGTAGGATTTTTGAGCAGAAAGCAGTAACTTGTTATGGGAAAAGTGTGCTCCAGATAATCAATATTACAGGTAAAATCTCCATTGATAACATCTGCAAACAATTTTTGAATTGACAGAAATTAAATTCAGATCTCATAATCTACAATTATTGTATATTTCCATAATTGTAATTAAGGATGGTCGGGATAATTCAGTGTCTGGGGTAACACCTCTTTTAAGACAGCCATTTCTTTGACCTTAAAGCGATAAAATATCAGGATGGTTAATGTTACCTGATAACATGGCAACTCTAACACCAGAGGCTCAGCTATTAGCAGTAGTACTTACCTTGCAATAAGCTCATTACCTAGTTTTTGACATGCACTTTGACTGGGGGGAATAGTAGTTTAATAGATGTCTTGTAATGTATTCCTCAAGATTAGGGGTAATTAGTTCAATTATGATCAAGTAGTATTTTTTAATTCCACATCATTCAGCAGACAAATTAAATTCTTCAAAGTGCAATAAAGAAGATAGTGTTCCCAGTTAGATGAGCAAAAAATAAATAGGACATTTACAAATATTTTAGTTTAATTCATTTACTTACTTTTTCTCCCAAAAGAAATACCAACTCTCTTAAGTACACTCCTGTATTTCTTGAATCATTGCAAAGTGAGGTGTATCTTTCTCCCCCATATACTGACCATTCCTTTGAATCAGACAATACATTTTACATTTCATAAAATCAGTAAATGTCAAACAGTAAATAATTATATGAATCTGAATTTATCCCACATGTTGGGAATTAATGGAGGTAAATCTTTAAATCCTCAGTAAGAATTTTGACACTTTCTTTGACTTTCATGTAATCATTGCAGTTAAATAAAGCAATCATTGTCAAGTTCAAACCTTCAAAGTTTCATTCAAGATTCTTTGCTCAGATTCTGATTTACCATGCGGTACATCTGCAGCCCTTTGAACCATAGCCATAGGAGGAACACAGAGTGCTCCAGAGGCTTCTGAAGCAATCTTAGGTAAGCGTCGAATAGAAGGAAAATCCTTTGATATAATAACCACATGATGCCTGTTAATTCAAAGTTTATAAATGATTTCATTATTATTGTGGTAAATATACTCTCTGGTTTGCTCTCAAGTAATTAATCTTCATTAAAATGACATAGAGAATGTCTGCTGCCAATAAACATGGAGGCAACAAATCTTTAGTAAAATGTCAAATATGTAAGCACAATTACATTTTAAGGCAAAGGCAAATAGAATGTAGGGTAAGAAAGATGTAAATGGCATATACTGTATACCACAGGTCACTAGTTACCCTGGATAATTTACTTAGCTGAATACCTAAAATACAAGAGAAGGAAAAATATTGGATATATTAAAATATTGCCAAACAAAGAAAGACTACTGACCCTCTTTCCAGTAGTAAATAAGCAGTGGTCAGACCAATAACACCACTTCCAATGATAAGAACCTTGCATTTAAATTCCTTTAAAGGAAAGTTGTTAACATATTATTAATAAAGTAAATTGCATGTGGGTAATGAAACAGCTTAACAGCCCACGCTTCCCTTGGTCACCAAAAAGTACCACAGTGCTATTTCAGAGTGTCCTAAAGCTACCTATAGCGTTCTCCCACCCTCTAGCTCTAAAAAATGAAATAAAGTTTTCCAATAAGTCTCTATACTGCCTAATGTTCACTTGCCTAAATCAGAGGTGTGATAACTCAACTTTAGTTAATAATTTTGATTACAATGTTTCACATACATTAAAAAAAGTGTACAACATGAAAATGCGCAATATCGCTGACACAGAAATATCGCTGGTCCACCATGTTTTCGATTCTTGAAAAAATTACTTAATAATATATGTACGGTATAATTTAATTTCACACCCTTCGGAGTAAAGTGTATCGCAGGTCAGATCGTAGCAACATAGTATTCAGTATTACTCTCTTGGAGGGGCCGGGTAGGATGATAAAGTTCGGTGATGGCGAAGTGACTTACCTAAAAAGATAAAGGGGTAAGTTTCTAAAGAAAGCGTGGTGCTGCGTCGGTGGGAGAGTATAGCAGTTAATTTAGTGTTAACAACTGGGTTGAAAACGTAAATTAGCCACCGTAAAGAGTAAAAAAGCTGACGTTTCGAGCGTTAGCCCTTCGTCAGAGCGATAGATCTGTATATACATCGCTCTGACGCTCTGACGAAGGGCTAACGCTCGAAACGTCAGCTTTTTTACTCTTTACGGTGGCTAATTTACGTTTTCATCCCAGTTGTTACCACTAAATTACCTACTTAAAAAGATAACACAGCATCCTAAACCCTACAACTAATACCCCGTTTGTTTCTTTAGCTTAACATGAGTTTACTTATGTGTCACAACTGCAGAAAAGAAAGCACCCTTATAAATTACAAAATCAGCCACCTTTTTGTTTCTTGAAGTCATTTACCAACTCTTGCACCGGAAAAGATTTCGGGTGACCTGGATAGCTGAGAGGAGCTCTAGCAAGGTCGACCGATGCGTCCGAGGAGCTTTAGGGACTTGGAACGAACACAATTAACCTGGTCATTGTCTCACCTGCGTCAGCGGGGAGGGGGTCTTTTATAAATTCTCCCCCTTCAATGGTGGTCATGTGCAAATACTAACCTTAAACTCTAAGCAGGTATTGGTCCCTAAGATATAATACCGAATTTAAAGTATAAAGGTTTGACAAATGTTGGAAAACGTTCCTTATTTAACTGTGCAGCTACTGAGCTTGTCTAACAAAAAAAAAATGATTATGTAGCTTGAAGGAGGCTCCATAGGGATTTTTCTTAATGTTGGCGCGTGCGCCAGCGTGATGTTTCTAGAAAATGTGTGTGTGTTCATGCCTCCATGATTCTAGTTTTTTTTTATGTTTTTGGCCTTCAAGGTCACTAAATGCCATCAAAAGGCAACAAACAAGGTTCCAACTATTGTTTTCTGCAATAAATATTATCAGAATGATTTTTGTTATTAAGCCAAGAATCCACGAAGGGAAGCGCTCGCCAGCAATAATTTTTATTTATTAACTTCGCCATATAACAACAATAAAAATTAATAGATTAAAAAGAAAAGAAGAGAAAAAAATGACAAAAAACGACAAAAAAAAAAAAATGGCAGGGATACCGCAACAGCGTAGCCAATCACAGCGGGCCCAGATTTGATTTGGCATCGCCTTTGATTTTCTTCGATTTGCTTCGGTGAAATCTCTCAATTTTCACAATTTGTGATCATTTAAAAATTTTCACAATCTGCCGATCATTTAGAAGCCGAAAAACTACGGGTTACAAAACAAGGGCAGTTTCCTCGCTATTTGCAATTTTGTGTGTTCTTCCTCTATCTCAAATTTGGTCTTATGACCCTTTTTTTTTTTCAACAGGCATTAGGAAGGGCACAAATATGTTTAACGGTCCAGCAAATCTTAGGAAATCCCACCGAAGGAAACGTGATTAATTTCACTCGAAAGATCCCTATTTTCCATTGTCAACACATTACGTAATGGGATAGAACTTCGCCAAGATCGGTATTTGAGCATGCGTAGACTTTCAAATCTGTCGCCTTTAGGCGACCTTTCCTAAAGTGTTTTCTTTCCGGTTGACTTCTTTTTCAGGCGTAGAAGGCCTATAAATATTACGGGTGCCGTCACTGGAAAACATAAAACCTGCATTATGTTAAATTGTTTTTAACACACTTTTCAGATAACATTCGTGTGATCGTACCCAGCCGCCATGTTTGTTTAGCATGTTGACGCTTTTAAATCTCGCACTGTGTTGGCACCCAGATCTCGCGCGGCCAAAATCTCTGGGAAGCTTCCCTAAATGCAGGTTTTCTATATTTTACCAAAGCAAAAAGGATAATTGACCCTCTCAGAAAACTGTAGCCTGCTCTCATAATAATTAGTTTGATTCAAGGGCACTGCTAGGTAAGAAAACTCAGGGGGTGAGTTACAGTGCTCCCATACATCATTTCTTTTTGTATCCCTTTACAATTACTTTTGTTTAGTCTGGACTGAGAATTGTCACCTCGGCTTAACCTCCCTGAGGGGTACAGCATGACAAGACGACCCTCCACCTTTGTGGGCTTCCTTGTATGTATCGCTGTGTATCAATTCTTGCATGTATTTGTGCATTACCTCTTGCATTATCAAGTGTGCTACCTCAGCTGATTTGAAAGTCCCTTCATTCCTAGTTGCATTTCCTTATTCCACCCTTTTGTGTAAAATTCATGCCAGGCCTCAGTTGCAACAAAATTTTGAACCAAATGTTCCTTTAGATTCAAGATAAACAGTGGCAGTTCAGTAGCAACACCATCTCACAGGTTTTGTACAGTAACTTAAACCCTGAACACGTCATTAATTCAAACTCACATCTTCTTATGTTTTTGTACATGTTCTTGTATTATTTTCACATCACTACACCTTCTTTGGTTGCCAACGATAAAGGTTTAATGCAATGATCTACTAATACATTTTCTACTGCAAATCAGGAAATTTTATAGATTTGATCATATGTTGACCTATTGAACAAAAGTGTAAAATTGCAGAACTGCATCTCAGCATTATTTGTTGATAAAAAAAAAAGGACTGCTTACATTGAAAACAATTTTAAAAGAAGGGTTTCATATTTCCCTGCAGGCAAGAGTTTATCAAAGGGGTGGGGGAATCTATTGAGAAAACTGGTAATAAAATATTTTACAACTGATTGAAGCCACTCATAAAATGATAGAGATTTCCATTATTGACGAAACATATATTTCCTTTCACTCAAAATGTTTAAACAGTACATTCACTTTTGGCAAGATACTTAAGCTATCTTATACAATACACATCCTTACCCTTATTAAAAGTAATTCATAGTTAGTGGGGCTGTGGAACATGCCCATCTACATAGAAATTCCTGGTTGCCTTTGGTAGAGTTACTTCAAGTCCCTCTAAATCTTTGTTTAGTATGATCTGACAACCTGGTAGTACAAAGGAATACATTTATTTCACAAAAAGACTAAGGCTGACCTTCCTCATTGAGAAAACACATCAACAAAATCCCATTCACTTAAGTAGAGGTTAATTTGATATGTAAGTAAAGTAAAGCCTTTATATGAGCCCAAGTGGCCCATGGGGCCAGTGCTTAACTCTGGTTTTCTTAGCATGAAGCGGCTAGGAGTGTTGCTACTTCCCCCTGGATGGGATGCTAGTCCATCGCAGGGTTACCCCCAGCACATTTGCTGGTACCCATTTGTACACCTGGGTGAAGAGAAGCACTGAGAGAGTAAAGTGTCTTGCCTAAGAACACAACACAATGACCTCGGCCAGGGCTCGAACCCGGACCACCCGATCCGGAGTTGAGTGCACTAACCATGAGGCCACCGCACCTCCACAACTTGATATGTAACTTCCACAAAAACGTTTGTCAACATCAATGAATTGTATCATCAACAAGAATATGCAAGGTTGTTATATATAGTATGATTAGTCTAATCTAACGGTAATGATAAAAGGTTTTCTTATTTGTTACAAATTTCCTTGTCAGTTCCATCAGCAGAGCAAAGGAGACTGCTCTTTACATAAGGGGTTCAGCAACACAACTACATCAACTGACAGTATCACAGTAAAAACAAAAAAGAAAAGTACAGTATATCATACTCAAAGACCTCATCAGATTTGATAACACTTATTTGCAAAAAATAATAACATGGGCTTGGGTCAAAATTTATTGCAGAAATGATTGATGGCAAACTTGAAAGAACTTTTAAGCCAAAAAGAATGATGTGCACCTTGGTTAAATTTTATGCCGGATCTAATTGATAGTGAACTTATTGAAATGGCTTCCATATCTTCCAGATGGATAGAGCTAATTTTGCTTTGACATTTGATTTGTTGCCCAAGGTAGCTAGGCAAAAATTTATTGATATATTTTTATCAGCACTATGGATTTATTTTTTCATGAATCAAATTGTTGGAAACCCCTTTTTTCAGCTCTGAAATATTATCAAAGAAGTATGCAAAATATATGGCATTAAACACACATCCACACTGTAGAGTACAAAATTCTAATTCTGTATGACAAAAAAAAAACCAACTTACTGACAGTAGCCAATCATGAGGTACTAAAACTGTAAACAACAGGCTCTATCGTATGTTATGTGCAGAACTTCAAATACCTAGTAACTCCTTTACAATGATACTGCATAGTACTTTTACATTGTACTGCTTACCAAGTCTTGAGTTTTCCTGAAGAAATGGAGCCATATCCAGCATATCATCCTCCCTGGAGACATAATTCTAGTTAAGTCCATGATATTTACAAAATTAAACAACTACAGGTTAATCTTTACTATTTATGGTTTAGAGTTTATTTTCTTGGAGGAGAAAAACTAAGGGCTAATGCTCAAAACATCAGCTTTAAAACTCTTCACAGTGGCCAATTTACATTAGCAACTCAGTTGATAAAGCCAAATTATCTTGTTATACTCCCCTACCTACACAACACCACAGTTTCTTTTTAAAAAATTACTTTATTCACGAATCTAGTTAAGGTGTACATAATTATGAACAACTTTAAAATGTGGCTCTTCTAAATGGCTTGAGAAAATGATTTTGAGGAAAACACCTTGATACCAAGTGACAATTTATTTATCAGGACAGGTTCAACTATCAAAATAGCACATAAAAGTAGGCACCACTTAAAGGATATCAGAAGTATGAGGATGCCTGTTCCATGGGATAAGACAAAATCATTTTTTTTATAGACTATCACTGAGTACCAAAAATCTCCTCAAATAAATCTTACTTCTCTTCTGGTTCAGGAAGCTTTTCCAAAAAATCTTCCCTAACATAGACATGACACGTGGAACAGGCTAATGATGCTTCGCATGCTCCTTTAAAACAAGAATAATTTCTGAAAGTTTCTTTACTCAAATAACTTAAACATCATAAAGTATAAATGTTAATGATACATTTCTCATATATACATGGTTGACCTCAATCCTGATTGCTCCATCATAAATAAACCCAGCCCTTCAACGTTCAACTTCCTTGGTCATGGCAGCAATAAACACAGTTTGAGAAAATACATTTTCATATTTGTATCACCTTGTTAATTTGCTTTGAGTTTCACTTAAATGTACTATGTATTAGCTTTCTGTTTTAAATATCTTGCATCCTTAATGGCTCTTTTGAAAGTAAAGCAATTGCCAGTGGTTAATGGGCACTTTCCATTACTAAAAGCAAATTAATTAGCTTAGTTGTAAAACATGTAGCTTACCCTCCACTTCTATGCCATAACGGTGTGCCAAGTATAGCAAGTTGTCTCCTATTTTCCCTCTAACTTTTATTTTGTCTCCAGTGCGATCAATATATGTGACATTTACACTTTCCAGAAAAAAGAAATAGGTTATTAAGATCAAAAGTATATAAAAGACTCATTTACCAAACCAATTCAATCAGCACCACAAGCTACTACCTTCAGCTGAGTTGGGAACTAGTTTAAAAATATCAGAATGATCACCATATAGTTTGAATTGTAATTTCTCATTGAAAAGTTGCTTCAATGTAACTTTTCAGAGTAACATCTCACCCATTGCATTTACCAGCCTGATATATTCGTCTTCATATAGGAATCTTGTGTGTTTTCCCTAAAGTGGCTAGCCCAGATTTCACAAAAATTAATAATTAAATCAATGGGAAATTTCGTTGCAGTGAACACAAGCTGCAACATATTCCTTTACTTCTTAAGAGGACTTGTGGCCAACAAAGAGAGGCTTAGACTAGTATACCGTTCTCCTTAATATCGATAATAACTACAATAAGTTTCCGATTGAAATAATTTTGGCTCACGATGTTGTAAACGAAAAGGTTCTGTTTGCTTAATAGAATGAGTTACATAATTGTCACGTACACTTCATCAACTGACTTTGGTTCCTGCATCTCGTATTCCCCAGAATGAAGAGGGCCTTGAAAGGTTGAAGATATAACAAAAGGATCAGAAATAGTGTTACCACAATGTTACACTACATTACTCCGTTTACAAATATATCACGTAGTTAATTTATCACAAACCTGCGTGAGTGTAGAAATACTGAACATTACTTGTGACTTTTATTTGCAAAACAACCGTTGCTCGCACTCTATTTGTCACGTTTTTCCAAAGCTGTACGCTTCTTCGCGTCAACATCATCATCCACCTGGACTATCCGAGCTAACGTTTTCATAAAGACATTCTAGTTTTGCTATAATCTACTTTACAAGGTGTCCTCTGTTTCTCCGACATATTGGATTTGAATCGACGGTATTGATGTCAGTGGTATCTTCGTGAATGAGTCAAATCACAATTGGTGTACTCATATATGAAGAGTATACAGGTTGTTTATGATAGCCGTACCTGAACTCGAACCCGCGCCTTCCCCAACGTTTACCAAGAAAGCACAATTGTCTCAGTTGAATTGGGATAAAGCGATTCTCAAGCCGTTGCTGAGAAATTGAGCCACTGTTGTAAAGGAGAATTTTAAAACATTATTTCGCTGTCATTTAGGGTGGTGTCGGGTGAATTAACTCGTTTCTGGTGAATTTATCGGCGTAATTGGAAAGAAAGCCTAATTTCAAGTTCAGTAAATTTTATTTCAGTTTCTCTTCAACTTCAATTTTGGTTTAATTTTCGTTTATGTGCAAGGCATCATGGTGCAACAGTGCGTATACCTTCAAAGTAAATTGGCTAACCGACAGAAAATTTGTGCACAACTGACAGAGCAACAAACGACTAAATAGCTGCGTGGAACTGACAGAGTAATGATTGGGTAACGCTGACAGAGTGATTCTGTCACCCCACTAAACAAAAGCGATTAAATAAATAAATAAATAAATAAATATATATATATATATATATATATATATATATTTGACGAGACTATTCATTACTTCGGTGAGATTTCAGCTCCGTCAAAAGGTTTTCCCATGACAGCTACCCTAAAGCGACAAAATGGGAGACTTGAAATCCTGACCGAAGTGCGCATAGAACTTGAATTTTGAAAACAAAACTTAAGTGTTGAAAATAAAACTCTAATAATTTGATACTACAAGCGTAATTCATCAATCCTTCGTCCAAATTTTGAGTTGAAAATATTGGTGAAAAAGTTTCATAAAAAAGTGTTTTGATGATAAGATGTATGGCGCCAATTGTACCACCCGGTGCTTTCATGAATCAACTTCACCTCAACCCTCACACATATTATTACAAAAAAAACCCACAGCAGCGCAATTACAAAAACATTGTTGAAGAGAGGGAGGGAGAGAGAGAGAGAGAGAGAGAGAGAGAGAGAGAGAGAGAGAGAGAGAGAGAGAGAGAGAGAGAGAGAGAGAGAGAGAGAGAGAGAGAGAGAGAGAGAGAGAGAGAGAGAGAGAGAGAGAAAGGGAGAGCTGGAGGAAAGGGCATATTTCTATCTTTTTTCAGGCACTTTTGTAACACAAAAGGGCACTTCTGTAACGTGACAGGCACTTTTGTAACTGTGCAGGGCATTTTGGTAACTTTTAGGGCACTTTTGTAACTATGGAAATTTATAAATATTTTTTAATTCCTGAACTACTTAAACCCTTAAAAAATTTGTTAACGCAACCACTTCAGTTGCTTTTTAGAAAATGGAACTTTTAACCGGACGACGTCCGAGTTGATAGAGTTAGGGGATCAGAAGGGTAGTACTTCAAACGTTCTACGTGGACAGGAAACG